TAAAATATAGGGGCCATAAACCAGAAAAAAAATTCTTAAACCGTAACTAATAATATGTGCTGATAGGTAATTGGTGCATAGAACTTTAAAAAAAAACCTTCTGTTGAAGAATAAAGCTAAAATATACGAAAAAATTAACAACATTTCAAAGGCAATAATTCTTACAAATTATATGTCATGTTTTAAACTTTTGTTAGGACGATTTCCTTGAAAAGGACCAGTGGTTGTTCAAGTTTTTCCAGTCATCTATCAGGTTCCTGAAAGGAGCCTATACACCCTAAATCAGAGGAAGAGGCAGGCTACCCTTGATATTTGTTAGATACATACAAGATAGGCGTGGGAACAAAATTTCACAAAAACTTGGTTTCTCAGCATGCAAGGTAAATAACTTTATTATGAAATTGAGTTGACATTTTTGAAAATATTAAGAACATGTAAATATGAATATGTCATATGTATTGAGCTCTGAAGGTTAATTGATTATATTGCATTTTAGCTTGACTGTTGTAAGAACTGGGGAACTGTTGTAATTGCCAGGGTTTAGTGTTGAAAAGAGGTTTTATTTTTTGAAAATTTTTTTTTCACTAGAAATTTCCCAAAGTTTTGGTCATAAGTAGTTACTCCACAAACCCAAATTGTTCTAGCTGAAATATTCAAAGGGATATCCTTACCAGCTGTACATCGTGGTCAGCGAAACACTTGTTTAAAGTATTAATTGTAACTTAATATCTGATTAACTGCTGACAGATTACACTTTTAATTTTGTAATGTACTGTCCAAGACTTATATTCCTAGTTAGTATTTTACTGAATTATTCCCCTTTGTAAGACAAATAATTAAAGTGGATAGGTCTACAAGGGGTACATTTTCCAGAGGTAAAACAAAGCCAATGTATCATTTGAATATTCTTATAAAATGCTGCTTGAAAAAGAATTGTTGGTAAAATTAATGAATTATTATATTTTGTTCTAGAACATTTTATTATCTGCTATACATGTTGTTGTTTTTCCAGCATTTGCATACTGCATATCAACATATGAAGATTTACCGACCATTGTCTTAAAAAGTGGCTGGTTACCAGGTCTCCTTAAAATACTCACTGATGTGAAAGGTTGGTAAATATTTAAATTACTTTCAAAGCTTACCTGGTATACTTTAAAGCTGCGCGCCTCCAGATGAGCAAAAATATTTATTTAAAATCAAACCTGAGAAAAATGTACTAAGATTTAGTAAATGTAAAAAGATTAAAAATTCTAGTAATAATTTACATGTTATGTGCGATTAATGACCGATTTTTCAGTATTTATAACTATATTTCTACTGAGTTACTAACCCAGTAAGGGCCTTTTTGCTAATTTTGACATCTGGGTTGTGAGTGCCATTGATAATGTGTAAATTGCATTATTTTGGTAACTTGACAATATTATACTGTTTAATACATTTTCAAATTTTCATGAAAATTAGCATGAATCTGGAGGCATGCTGCTTTAATGTTTCTGTCAGGATTTTAGAGGAACTTTTTAAAGAAAAATAACAGAAAGGCTTGCTATATACATATGCAAGTCTGATTAAATCAAACTATTATAGATTTAATATGGTAATGTAATGAACCATTATGAACAAAAAATTCCTAAAATTCTGTTTCATGACTTTAAAATATTAATGATAATCACATTTATTGTTTTGCATTGAACATCAAAACTTTAAACATTGCTGCAATTAAGTTATAAAACATACATTTGTATTTAATTTCTATTGTTTCATTATTTTCAGCAAATTCTGTTGCCGAGGAAACACGCAGCTGTTTCCTGTTGTTGTTAACTGCTATTGCTAAGGTAGATAAATCAGCAAAGTCTGTGATACGAGAGAAAGGAGGGCTAGATTTAGCTAGGTATGACAGTATACTAGTTAATATAAACCATCTATTAACAGATTGTCTGTGGCTGAGTGGTTATGGTTGGAGAATTAAAATCATTTGCCACTTTGTGTTCAAATCTGCCACAGACGATAGAATGTTTATTGTAAGGTAGCTTTCAAGCTAGTTTATAATATGTTGGTGTTCCACTTGTGCTTGAAATAATGAATGTAAGGGTAACCAAGATAATTCCTCGCACCAAAGTAAAGCTAAATTGACACCATTTTAACCTTTAAATAGATATGATTTTTTTTTTGCAGAATTAAGAATTTAAAAAAACTCCTCTAGGACATGATAAAATCATTTTGAGACCTTTATCTAGGATAAAATAAAAGTGCTTCACAAAAAATTATCAAGTAAAAAGAAATTATTATGACTGTGATTTAAAAAGTGTTGATTTCTATTTCTGTATATGCAAGATTTCAAACATTACGAACAAAGAAATAAACTGTATCAAATTTGTTTAACTTTAACCTTAAAGTTTTTTATCATCAGATCTGCATTTTATTTTCATATCTTGTGTTTATCATAATTTGTTAATTTAGGCCCATGTAAGATTTAAAAAATGATATATGTTGTTCACGGAGTTTTTTTCTGTGAAACATAGGCCCTAAGCTTTCTGTGGAGAAATTGGGGAAGTTTTTTTTATCACCTTATTATTGACTGATATCTTAAATATAAGGTGTCTTGATATCTTACTGGACCCTCTTACCTTTGGTATCGGGGTTGAATTGGGGATGAAGGTTATAGTGACTAAGGCTATAAAATAAATGTTGTACTTTGTTTAGGTTTGTAAAGTGACATTGGGGAACCTTCGAATAAACAATTGGTGTGAAAAATAAATTCTTGTATTTTCATCCAATGTTATCTTTATTGAACATAATTTGATATACTTTATATATTTTGACATGATCTTTCAAGTCATCCGAGTTACAAAGAAATCCTTCAGGCTTCAATAAATTGTCTCGTGATGATGCTAAAGTAACCATGGAGACCAGGAGAATTCCAGGAAGTCAATTGTTGCCATGGAAACTGTTGATCTTGAACAAGACATTCTTGTCTTTCATTTTAATCACAATCACTAAATTCTATATCAGCTGTTTCTGCAGTGTTTGACATCTAAGAAGGACTTTTAGAAGCATGAAAATTAACAGTTACCATGGAAACCAAGCATTCAACCATTATTTTACCATTTGATGATCACTTAATAAATAGTGTGTTCAGACATTTACTAAAAGAAAACCAGAATGTATATGTTTGTCTTGAATAAAATATTCAAACCTTTAACTTGCTCGAGACTGGCACTGACAGGGACCTATCAATATCATCATTTTAGAGTCAGGCTAGCCTGCATATCTGTATAATTTATCTTGAGTCTTGAGCCTGCTTCCTTATTCTTTTGGCAAATTAACAAGCCTTTTCAATAGTTGAACAGAACCAATTAAAAACAGGGTCAAATCTTTGATAAAAAAATCTTATAAGATGAATTTTTATTGTTGTTGTTTAGAAATATGAGGACATGTTGCTCAAAAGTTCTCCTTGGCTCAGGTGTAAGGCTAACAAAGGTGAGCTTGGAGATCAGAATGTAAACTCGATACCCTTAATTTGGTTTTTAAACAGATAGAAATTGTTATCTCCCATATTTCAACCTAAATAATAATGGCTACAGCAGCTCTGAAACTTAATCTGAAAAGCTTTAATTTAATATCGATCAAAATATCTACAAAAATTCATTCTTATGATTTTGTTACATCTTCAATTAATTTTTGATATTTCATACAATTTTGGTTGATATTGTTTGAGCATGACAACTGTTTAAATAAAGACATATATCGTTTTGCCATTTAAAAAAAGAACAACTATTTGATTGGTTGATTTGAACATGATGATATTTGAATATTGACCAATGGCAATGTTTCTTTTATAGACTGGTCTTCAATCTTTCACTTGTTGGCTTAAACCAGTCACTGTTAATATTTTAGAGGTATTGATATGTTTATTTTTGCACTGATATCTAAATATGAATATTTATATTATAACTTTTTATGTGCTTTTAACTAATTGAAGTTTATGACTTTAGAATTTGTTTTTCTTTTTTTTGGTTGTTGTGAAGATTTGAAATATTAAAGCTTTAAAAGTAATATATTGTTGTCATTTATTATGCCATTATTTGAGGTTCATGGTCATATATCATACTGAGGCATTTTATGCAATAAATGTAAAAAAAATTACCCACAAAAACCTAAACAAGTCAAGTCGAAGGATTGTTCATTAAGGATACAAAGAATTAACAACATGGTGAGTTGAAAACACCTGGTTGTTTGTTTTTCATGTTTTTAAGCTGAGAGTAATACATGTTGGGTCATATTTCGGCAGTTGATCCACCTAATTGGCTTTACTGGGTAACTAACCAGTAATTACCAATAAAATATTCACAAATGACTACTAAAATTTCACTTGATTTCTGAATCAGCAGGGAAAGATAAATGACCTTTGGACTCGATGTTTAAGATCAAAAAACATGGAGAAATCAGGCCCCTCCCAGAGTATCAAACAGGTGGCCTGTGGACCACTCAAATGCTCTCCCTATTTAGACACCTCATAATATCTACACTGAGTTAATCCCTTCACTGCAGTTATTGTATATTTACAGAAAAAATGCTTGACTGGACATTTCTGGAATAATAACAGGAATTCACTATATCAGATGGATTCTTAGTTTCCTATTTGTGTATGTAAGATGTACAAAATGTTTACTTTTGTAGAAAAGAATGAAATTGAGTTAAATGTATTGTTTTCCCAACCTCAAATCAAAAACTATCAACAATCAAATCAAAATTTCATATCCATAGTTACAACAGTAAACCTGTCTTGTTGGCAAATGAAGGTTACCTGTGGTGACAGTAGTGCCCATTAGAAATATTAAAGAGTTTTATAACCATAAATATTTTATCAATTCCCGTCTATTTATCCTCGTTAACTTACTACATGTATACTATGTTTATTGAATAAATATATGAATGTATTTGCTGTACCGTGTAATCATTGAAAGATCCATTTTGTTTAAGACCGCAAATTCAAAGTTGTCGGCCCTTGGATGACGTCATTGGGGTATAAGCTACGACCTGAAGTACATTTATAAAGGGATATAAAGATCTTAATCCTTAGTACCCTTGTAAGAACACCAGATTGAAATTGCCAAAATTTTGTGTAATTTGAATAAGATATAAAGGATGGTCAAATGAATTCCAAACTTCATGTTTCTTAAATACTCTTACCGCCTGTGCGTTATAGATAAAGTGGTGTATTTTTTATTGGTGATAATCTTTTGCAGTAAGCAGGTTTATTTGGACTACACTGACCCGATAACCATACAACTCCCATTTTAAAGTGGTTTGTCCATTATCTAAGCTATTAATTGTTAATTGAGTGGAAAGGTTGTACATGTAATAGCCAGAAAACTGTATGATAATCTATATTATGGTTTGATTTTTCAACATTTTATTTTATTTGACTATTTTAGCTTTTATTACTCACTGCAGCTAAAAACTCTTGTTCCATGTTGGTGATTGGTTATATAATGGACATTTATATATACATGTACAAACATTTTCCGAAGTGATTGAGATTATTGAACAAGTTGTATCCATAGTTTTAATTAGTAAATTTTATATTCTGACATTTCCATCTATAAGACTTAATTAAAGGGACTTCACTGAGGTTTTTTGACATGACAGGACTGGAAATATTTTTTTGAGGTTATTACTCCATTTGATGTAGATCTATACTAATAGCACATGTGCAAAATTTCAGATCATTAGCTCGCTCCGTTTTTCCAGAATAATTATTATAATAGTGAAAAATGACCAAAAATTGAAAAGCGTTTAAACGCTTTTCACTCAAATAGAACTGAAAATAGCACAAACATATGACTTACAATGTATTTCTTGTATATTTCTTAACTATATTTTATTTATATTTCTGTTTTAAATGCTCATGTTTATCTATGTGAAAAATTAAAATTTTATGTTTTAGGCTTGTAAACCTCAGTGGAGTTCCTTTAACTAAATAGCTAAAAATCATAATATGCCTATAGTTAAAGGAACTCACCTGTGGTCGATTTAAGCCTAATATCCTTAAATTTGAAATTCTTGCATAGACCAACAAAAAACTTTACAGGAATGTTGATCAACGTCTGAAATTGTGCACTTTAAGGTTTTCATACATAGCTCAAAAAGTATCTGATCTAGTCACAAAACTTTACAGGAATGTTGGTCAGCATGTGTAGTTGTTCACATGGGTGTTTGTTTGTTGATTCTTCCCCCAGAATTTGTAGAGTTATTGCTCTTGACCAATAAAAATTTGAAATTTTCAACTTTTGTCTTGTGTAGCCTAAAAAGTATTTGACCTAAAGTCATAAAGCTTACATTACACGAATGTTTGTCAGCATGTGTTGGTATCTCAGTGCACCTTCAAGTTTGCTTGTGGATTTATTATTTGTAGAGTTATTGCCCTTGACAAGTAAAAATTTGCATTTTTCAACTTTTGTCGCTTGTAGCATAAAAAGTATTTGACCCAGAGTCATGAAACTTCATTGGTAATGTTAGATCTATATAATTTTATTGGTATTTATTGTATTGTGTTCTGCTCTGTTACCAATAAAGGAACGTTTATTATGTTTATAATATCACAGGAACTTGATATTTAAATCAATAGATCACAAAATATACGAATATTTAAGGTATAGCCTTTATCTCCAAAAAAAATCAAGTTCCTGTGATAATATACATCCCTGCAGGATCCTTTTGAAAAATTATAGGGTCCTCTGACCAACATTGCAATTTACACGATAACATTACTATTACGACACCAAATCGAAGATGGACGTCGGATCGAAAAACGAAGAATATTTTCATATAATTTCAAGGTAATGAAGTATATTTTTAGATAAAATTTACATAATTAATCATATTTAATCGTTGTTGACATTTTGGAAATTGAAAATTGTGATTATTGTCCTGTGGGTTTATAAAAATACCCTCTGTGTTTTTGCAATTGGTTTTCGCGACATATTAATTTTTTTTCTCGCGAAGTTGACACAAATTTCTAGCAATCCTTGTCCCCATCAGCAGGTAGTCATGTACAAAAGGTTCAGTTTAGTTTAGTTCACTGTTTTCTAATTAAGTAAATATTTGATGTCTCTGTTTTGAAATTCCACAGATGTATTGTTTTTCATTGTTTTAAACTTTCAACAAAGAATGAAATGGTGGTTTTCAAAAATTGAAGGTTCTCACTGGTCATTTTAATTCGTTTAAAAATGATATTGAGATTTAAAAATTAGTATGAAATTAGTTGCTACCTATGGGGCGGAAAGCTCATATGATATATTAATAGTATGCATTACATTTTACATGTTATAGAACTGTCGCGATTGATTATAAAGGGATTGACAATACAAACAATCGACTTACCTTCCACGTCTGGATCGCAGCCAAGCTAGGAATTTGCCTCACCATTCTTCTTAATTATTTTATTACACTAATATGGCGCCCGAACCTGTCAGCCTACACCTAGTTTCCGGTTGGTCCGGAAAACCTTCCCGTTAACATTCCCGTCAACTCCCGTAACCAGTTACCAATACGGGTAGCTTACAACTCCTCCCCGTCCTAATTCTTTAGGAGGGGTTCTGGTGGCTCCAGGAAGTTAACCAAGCACTGAACGCCTCTCTTAGTTCCAAGGGCAGACTAGAGCTTCCCGGTTTTCATAACCGGTAACTGGTACTTGAGACCATGATGCCAGAGGGCTGGACAACATGGACCTACTTGACTGAACCGTAACCAATTTTCAGCCAAGCCCTCCCAAAACCCCAGACAACTCAATGGCTGTTCAGACACTCTTAGGAAAGCTAAAAGGAGTTGGGACTCTCAAGCTGACAAGCTGAACATGGCTTTCCCAGATTGTCTTCCTGGTGTCTTTCCAGCATGGATATCAATGACAGTAGACAGCGCCACTGCAAAAAACTGTCACAGCATTACCTTTTTACCTTTGGGGTGAGATCTTTGGGCAAGGGTACCCTAAGAACCTCACAGAACTCCTTCGCTGCTTTCCTGTGATTACTGGTGCAAGTTTCCTGAGAAACCGGAACACCAGCACACTCCAGGTAAGTTACCAGGTCAAACAAAGTGCTATTAGACCCCAATAACCACCTGATCACCAGCTTCAAAGCACCAATCCTTCTGTTCGTAATGCTTTCACCTGTCAAACACATTTGGAATATGCCAGGGAGGTGGGCCTCCATAGCATGTCTCTGGGTAAGATCCTCAAACATCCCGGCACTGGGGGCACCGAGATCCTTGCTGGCCACAGGGAATATCCTCTAAAATCTGTGCCAGCAACGTAACATCTACATTATCAGGAATGGCCCTGATATCAGATGTTCGGTCTCTAACGCAACCTATACTTACCTTTTCTTCCCTCTCCACTGAAGATTTGGCCTTCAGAGAGGGACTGTTGACCATGCTCACCGACCTTATTGGCAAGGACCGGCTGGCCATCTTGCATCTGATTGGTTTTCATGAAAATCAATCCCGTAGATGACAGAAACCCTGGTACCCTGCTGGCCACCTAAACCGGAATCCGAAGACTCCACTGGTTTGGTTACCAACTGTACACACCTCATCTACATCTGTGAAGAACTTGACCCAATTGGTATGGGGCTTTTTTACAATCTTCACATCCACCACAAGGCAACTGATCCAGCCGCGCACCAGCAATTCCACCTCGGCATGTCCCACTTTGCAGTGGTATTTTTGAACATTGCGTCAGCATTGGAATGCTCGCGACTCACACGATGTCTCAACACCAATGTTAAACTGGGACAGCTCTTCCAGCCATTTCCCCCAGTTGCCCTTGTGGCTCCCTGAAATTCATCAACCACCTCAGACTTGAATGGTCAGTCCTGACCACAAATGGTCTTCCTAGCAAGTAGTGTCGGAACTGTTTGTGACCGAACTACTGCTAGCAGCTCTTTCCTGGTCATGCAATAACCCTGTTGCTCCTTGGTAAGAGCACAGCTACCAAATGCAACAACTTTCTCTTGGCCCTCTTGCACCTGCAAGAGCTCTGCTCCAATCAAATCATTGGAAGCGACCGTTATCCAAGATAAATTCATCATGTTGATTTGGCAACGCTAACACTTGGAGGTTGCGTCAACAAAGCGCTTTTAAGTCCTGAATGACTCTGCTTGTTCCTCGCCCCAGACAAATTTGGCTTTGCCTGAGACCGCATACAATGGGGCTGCTACCCTAGAGAAGTCCTTTACACACACTCTATGATAGTTAACCAACCCCATAAACCTCTCTACCTGCTTGGCACTGTTTGGAACAGGCCAATCCTTCACCACTGCTATGTCATGTTCTGTCATAGCAATGCTGTCTTTTGCCGACTTTACGGCCTAAAAAAACTCTACTTCTTGTTGGAAGAAGATACATTCTTTCGACTTAAAGCTTTAGCTTATGCCTCCGAAATCTCGAAAGAGCCTCCCGCAAGTTTGAGAGATGGTCCTCAAAATTGCGTCCAAGCACGATGATATCATCGAAAATGACAGGACTGTCTTCCATGTCAAACCTCTCAGGACTAAGTCCATTGCTCTGGCAAATGTGGCTGGGGCACCAAAACACAAACCAAAGCCTTCTCTGATGTTCAACTGGAAAAATGCAGAGTTGGCATCCAATTTTGAAAAACCAAACACTGCCAGAGCAAATGTGTCCATTGCAATCATCGACTAAAGGCAAAGGAATACACGTCTTTGACTGTAACCTTATTCAACGTCCTATAGTCTATGCAATAACGCACAGAGCCGTCATGTTTTCTAATCAAAACTGGAGCAGATGCCCATTTGGATGTGGCATCTTGTACACCCCCAAGCCTTCAGCATTCCCTGAGGCTGGGCCTCTTCTTCCCCTGCAAAGCATTTTGGCTTTCGCCTCATACCTTGCTTCACAAGCTTTGCCTCCTTGGTATCCATATCACGTTCCTTATCAGTGAAATCACCAAGGTCAAGTTCACCCTTGATGAAGACATCCTGGAACTCAATCAGCAATTGCGCTAATTGAATCCGTTGACCTTCATCAAGGCTGCCACAAGAGGTGTCATAGACCTCCTGCAGGTGTGGTGGTATTGGACCAACCGCACCTGATGTTTCAAACACTTTGCTGGGCAAAGATGTTTCAACATCACACTCATTCCTGACAACTTCACTGATGGCAAATGCCCTCCCTATCTCTGTTCCCCTCCTGACAAGGCGGTAGCTATCTGACGGATTAACAAAACACAACACAGGGGTGTTAGTGCCTTCATGTAACACTCGGGGAACCAGAAATTTCTTCTGGTTCACTGGTTCCACGATATAGCTATGCAGGGGAGAGTGTAACCTGCATTGGACTCTCGCCACAGAGTGTGGAGGGATAACTTGTCTCTTAGACACCATGACCTTGGATACCACGGGACTATCGGATGAATGAACATCTAGGGAGATGCGCATACCATCAAAGTAGAGCTCTGCTTTGCTCATGTCTAGCACAGATTTGCCAGGGTCACGAAGCAAATCAAAGCCCAACAGCATTTGTTGCTCAATGGGGGCAACAAACATGTTGACCTGGTACCACTGGTGACCAACCTTCAACTTAACCGGACCGGCTACAAAGGCTGCCATAGACAATTCCCTGCCAGCAGTTTGCAGCTTGACATCCCTTATCTTGGGGGGCTTGTGCTTCAGGGAATTGTAGACCTTATCAGAAATGATGGTCACCTGGGCAGCAGTATCTACCACTGCTGTTACTTGGACATCCCCTACTTGGACCCCCATGGTAAACTGGGAAGAGGAATTGACCTGACAGACAACAATAGGGTCTGGTTCGACTTCCCCCGTGCTTACTTGGCTGAAATTGGCAGCCAACCGGGATTTTTTAATTTTGCAGGTCTTGTCTGCATACAGGGACGGGAAACGACCTACTTTTTCACCGTCCCTGTTTAACGACTTATGGTTGTCGTTAAGCTTAGGGCAATTTCTTTTAAAATGCCCTATTTCGCCACAATTGTAGCATCCGGTTGATCTGCGGGGTTGGGACAATTCTGACAAAAAGGTTTTTGTCAGTCTTTGCTCCAGGTCATTTAAGGCTTTGCTTAAATCATTGGTTGACATAGGCTCTGCCTGCTGCTCCCGTGATGGCTGGGATGCAACAGCAAAAACCTTTTCCGGTTCCTTCCTGTCACCATACATGGCTGCGTACACCTGCTGGTACTGGCGTACCATTTGTATGGCTGCATGCACAGACTCGGGTTGCTGGCATGCAAACATGGAGACCGGCCTCTTTGTCAACCATACCCTGACAGAATCTGTTCACTGTTTGGACAGTGACAAACTCCTCTGGCAGCTTCTTAAAAAGCTCTATAACCTAGAGTGAGCACTCGGTCAGCCCACTCATCTAGGGACTCGGTTGTCTCTTGTGCTGCATTCTGAAAAACTTACCTGTGCAGCAGCTGGCAACTCATGTTGGCCAAATCGGGCAGCCAACTTGCTTAACCAGCCTCTTGTAGGTAAGCTGACCTTCTTGTTCACAGACAAGCGCATAATACTCGAGCGCTTTACCATCTAAACAGCAGACAAGGCAGCTAACTTGTTTCTTCATCAGTCCACTCGCCTTGTTGGACATAGCGAGTGAACTTTAAAAAGAACGGTTTCCCAAGTACTCTTACCATCATATGATAAGTGTTCGGGAAAGGCAGATATCGGTTACGAACCCTAGAACGCCTATGGGCAGATGGTGCCCTGGCAAACATAGAGTCATCACTGCAAATCACTATCCACTACCTGGTCAAAACGTATGGTACGTTTAGGGGTGGTATAGTCTGGAAGTGGTAAGGTAGGGGGGTGTGTGGATTTTGACTTTTTAGCAGTAAAATCCGCAGGAGTCATCAACTTCAGATTTTTATGTGGAAAAACCTTGTCATCTGTTGCAAGGGTACAAACAGATGACAGTTGTTGCTGCTTGTGAGCGGCCAGAACATTGGTTGCCGCTTTCACCACCTTCACCATTTCCAACCAATCATGCGCACTTGGCTGAATATCTTCCTCCTCGTCCTCGTCTGTGTCTACCTCCAAGCTAGATTGGCCTAGCTTGTCAGTATTCTTAACTGACAGAGACATATTCTGTCTAAAGTCTATCATAGCAAGTATCTCAGGGGAGAACCTGCGACGACAGATGGACTCTAAAATCTCCCTGGTTATATTACCAGAGCACTCCCTCACTGCAATGAGCGCCTTGGCTAGGCTTGCACCCACATTAGGTATTGCCTGTAGCCTTTCCTCAGACGCAAAGTTAATGGCAACCAAGGGTGGTTGCACAACCTCTGCTTCCTGAGAAAATATCTCGAATTTTCCCTTTATATTGATATTCTCCATAACAACGAAAGATACAGAGAAATATTCAAGTTAAAATGTGTTTTAACTAAATAAATCTCAATATCTATCTTCTTCCCCTTTATATGGCAAAAGGGCTAAATGGAGTTTATCAAAATATACCAGTTACTGTACCAGTGGCAGCAGAACGAAAAGGAAATCCGAAAAATAAACAAATTCCAAAGAATTTGGTCCTTCCAGGCCACGTCTAACCTAAGCGGAATTTGATGGCAAATTCCCGCTTAACTACGATTATTTACGTAGAAATTCTGGTTTAAATCGTTCAAGCAGATTGGCCCACTATGAACAAAACCAAGAATTCAGGTAGACTCCGTTCTATGAGTGCAGAATTTGAGGGCAAATTCGTACACAATCGGTAAAAATATGGACCTTTGGTAGCGTCTATCTTTCGGAACGGAATTCGTAAAAATTACCGCTGCCACCAATATAGAACTGTCGCGATTGATTATAAAGGGATTGACAATACAAACAATCGACTTACCTTCCACGTCTGGATCGCAGCCAAGCTAGGAATTGCCTAATTCTTCTTAGTTATTTATTACACTAATATGGCGCCCAACTGTCAGCCTAACACACTAGTTCCGGTTGGTCCGGAACCTTCCGTTAACTTCCGTCAACTCCCGTAACCAGTACCATACGGTACTACAATGTCTTTCTGACACTTCGTAAATAAGTAAAAGTAGGTATTTTGTACCTTATACAGAAATAAATAAATTTGTGGTGTTCAACCTATCATCATATGCTACAATTTCCGAAAATATCCAAACTCCTAACAGTGATTTGCTTGGCTATGTTCTGTGAAGCGAAGAAAAGGGGGACCACTGCGTCAGAGTTGGAAAATCCTGTCCATCATTCTTTATTTATCTTAAATGACAGTTGATGGTTTAATGTTATCTTTAACAGGCTGGTGAAAATGCCCGATCGAGCTTATGACATAAAAATCAGATTTCTAGAAAAATAAAGATATTTCTTCTAAACTTTGTTTATTGAGCATAATATATGACTTAAACAGAAAGAAAATATTTGGTTACTGTCACTTTTGTGAGAATTATTTCCCCTTTTTCATGTTTATATAACACATAATTTTTGAATACATTGGAATACATACATACCATATTTCCAGCCACCCAGACAGGGGATTTGGCTTTAAAAGCACGGGACATTGGTGCAGGGTTCTCGGGGACGCTTATTTCGGCGTCCCGGTACGCATGTTTATTACAGATGGACGCAAATATTTCAGAGCAAGGATTCCACGTACGCTTAATTTTGCCTGGGGACGCATAAACATTACCGATTGTTTACAACCACAAATACACAAAATGCGTCAGCGCGTGTAAGTCTATAGGTAGGCGGTCCTATGCACATCGACCTGTGAAGCGATTAGCCAATCAGCGATAACCCTTCCGATCATTATCACGCAATAGTGATCAGACTAATGTATACACGCGCTGTACAGTACATGTAATTACCAGATATAACACGCGTGATAATTTTATATCTTTGATCAACAGTTGATTGGAAATTAGCAAATTTTACCGACAAAAGGATAAAATTATCGACTATTTACGCCGCAAGTTTACTGTAAAGATTGTTTTCTCAAATTACAAATGAGTGTAATTTTTGAATGATTGTCGAATATTTTCAGCATTTTCTGGGCACAATTTTGCTTTAGTTTCATTCTTGCAAAAACTTTATATAAGAGTATTAAGAATTTAATATATTGTGCCGAAATGCCAGGACAACAAACCAAAATACACATACGCTTTTCTTTGATATTTAGATTCTATCCCGAACATCGGCTATCGTTCGCCAGAAACACTAAAATTTCGCAAAAATTCTCGGTTTCCAAGCCAAACATGCGAATGAATTGTTCCTTTATTATTTAATCAACATTAAATCTTTAAATATCGATCTTAAAAATTTGCCCCCTTTTGAAGACATTTGCTAAAATAATTGTTGATCGGATGAATCTCTTACACACTGTGTGAAGCTGTACACGATTTTCCTATTCATTCCGCTAAACGCTGCCTATAGTGTATACATTTACGTTTTTTTTTCACAAATATAAACTTTTTGTCTTTAGAGTGGACTTATTTTAAAACCAGAATAAAATTTGATTTGGTATAAAAGTGAAAAAAAAAACGATTTCCCTGTGTTGATGCATTATAATGAAATAATTTCATAATTAATATTTCAACAATATTTTAATTCAATATTAACAACAAAACAATAATTATACTATGTATTTCAGAGTTTCTTTTGAATAACTATAAACTTTGGAGTCCCATGAAGATTCAAAATATCAGCAATGCTATTGGGAACATTGAATGACTAATCTGTAAACATTAATTGCGACGCGCTTTTGGACTCCAACTTTTTCAGGGTTGGGAGTCCATGGACTCCATGTTTTAAAGTCCTAGTGAGAACCCTGCATTGGTGATTTGGCAATCTCCTTGATTAGACTCCTATGTATATTTCAGAAGTAAAACTTGTATATAATACATTAAAGAAAATGGAATGAACCTTATATATACTCCTGGTTTAGACCACAGGGTCTTTTCCAGGATATAGCCGTTGATTCTTTCAGCATTATATGTTATTATACATCAGGAATTAAGTGATTTCTTCAATTATTTGATGTATAATTCAAATTCTTGATACAAAAATATGGTTTTATTTTACAGTGACAGTGAGGAAGATGTTAGGTCATCATCTAAAAATAGAAAAGATAAAAAGAAACACAAGAAACATAAGCACAAGCACAAGCATGATAAGACGTCAGACAAGCACAGACATAAACACAAGAGGAGAAAAACAAGAGACAATAGATCAGATGAAGAGAATGAGTATATAAATGAATCAAAACGTCGCAAGATGGGGAATGAATCTGAACTTGGTAATGAGGCGGGTTTTGAAGAATCTGATTTAGAGAAATTGGAAGCTGCAAGAGCAGCTCTCAGGGCAGAGTTGAATGGTGTCTCCGATGATAGGTATGATGCTCTGTTAGAGGAGCAGTATAATGCTCTAAGTGCTCAATTAAAGGAGTATTCTGACCAGCAGGCCGACTCTGGTAATGAAAGACCTGAAAAATATGATGATCACATTGAATCTGCAGATTTCTTTCGACCAGAGTTACAACTTGCTATAACTATTAAAGGTGATTCCCGCGATGAAAGCCGGTCTGTTGCCGGTAGAGGATCTAGTGGAAGCTCCAAACGAAATAGGAACTATAGAGAAGAAACAAGTAGATCTCAGGGTGACTTTGGTGATAGTAACGTAGATGTTGTAGGGATGAATAAATCTGCATCAATCAATCTGATTGCAGATTATGGCTCCAATGAAAACAGTGATTCAGAAGAGGAAGGGGAAATAGGTCATGAAGAAGTTGGTAAAGATGACCTAGCTGATGAACTTTTAGAATATGCTATGAATGAAGATGAATATGCAAGAAAGTATAGACCTGAAAGTTCTGGCCATAGAAAAGAGGAAACATTTAAAAGCTTTGAAAGAGAATATGAAGAAATACGTAAAAGGAGAGAGAGAGAAAAAGAAAAGAAAAAAGAACGTGAAAGAAAGGAAAAGGAAAGAGCTGAAAGAAAAGAAAAAGAAAGAAGAAAAGAAAAAGAAAAGAAAGAGGCACGAAGAAAGGAGAAGGAAGATGCCAGAAGACAAAAGGAAAGCCAAAGAGCAGCAGAGAAAATTGCTGAAAGAGAAAAGGAAAGATCAAGGTAAGTGATACTACAGTAATATGCTTTCTTAGAACTTAATTATTTTTGAAAATCTGTTGATGGCATCGAATAAGGAAGGTAAGTAGAAATAATAATATCTGATCATGAATATGTTTATAAAACACCTTTAAGAATTCTGGTGTAACAAATTATGTGCGTTGTTTGAATTTAAAATAATTTTATGTACTTTATTTTGCAATTAAAAAGTGAGATATAAAAAAACTGAATAAATCATTCTTGTTAAATAATGAGCTGAGTGTTTAATGTTTGTAACTTGCAATCACTTTTTGCCACCAAAATCTGTTGGTTCGAATCTTGCTTGAAAAATTTTACTTCATTTATGTAATGAAACTTTACTGCTTGTTTAAATAAATTTTGATGCACGTACTCAGGTGCCTGTTTATACCCTGAAATGATACCCAGAGAGGGATACATAAGGTGTTCATCCACCTGCAAAACTGGACTTTCGTTATATGATTCTTTTACAGTGACAGTGTGACTAATACCTAATGAAAATATGTCTAGAAGTGCAAACTGTCTAGGTAAAGATAAATAAACTGTGCTTAAAGAGACTTATTTTAGTTTGACATTACTTTACGTGGCATAAAGAAGTTCAAATCAAATTAATCAAGCAGTTTATTGCTGTCTAAGATATACCTGAAGTAAAAATGATGTAGCTTTCATGTTTGATATTCATTCAAGTATATTATGATATAGAATTATATTCTATATACTGTAAACATTTATGACAGAGAATATTAATGACATTTTAGAGAATGTAAACTTTACAAGTTTTCAATTTGCAGATCGAAGTCAAGAAATGTTGATTCCCGTCAGGAATTTCACGAGGAAAGGAGGAGAGAGTCTCGTCTTGAAGATCATCGTAGAACTGAGAGTTATCAACGTTTGGAGGATCGCCACAGAATGGAGGATCTACGAAGACAGGAGGATAGGGAGAGTAGGATGAGAGATAGGGAGAGAGATATAAACAGGGGTCGTGACCTGCCAAGAGACCCTAGAAGGTTTGGTTTTATTTTGCTTTTTGTTTAACTTTTTTCTTAGATGTAAGATGTTTTTAGCGACTTTTTAAAGATTTTAGTATTTTTTACTTATGTTTTCTTTCAATGTTTTAAGATTAGTTGATGATTGATAATCTTTTAATTTAATTCCTGTGTATTATCAATTTTTCCATGACAGTTATTATAAATTATATAAATTTTCAGAGACCGAAGTTCTTCCCATGGATGGCGAAGGTCAAGAGATCGACAGATCAGTCCACAAAGGCGCGGTCAAGGTCGACGGTCAAGGTCACGAGATAGAAGAAGTCGGTCACGGGATCGTAAGAAACAAGAAGATCAAGATAAGTTTAAGGGCAGTTTGTCAGAGGGTTTGTTTGTACAGAAGGAGCAATCTTCTGATGAGGAAGTGTAAGAAATTTATTTAATTCAAAAACGCAAAAAAAAAGAAACAGCTGGGCTTACTCTGCTATTTGCTATTTTAGCAATTTGATAAAATTTTATTAGTTTCGTTACAAAATTTCATGCATTAGTTTCGTTACAAAATTTCATGCATTAGTTTCGTTACAAAATTTTATGCCAATATTACACTATTTTGTTTTAATTTTGTATGAAACTGGAAAATAACTAAGATTTGACATAGTCGAAGAGAAATGTTCAACAAGGTAAAAACTGAAGTTTTATCGAAGTTTGTTGATGATAATTATGCTTTCAGATTTGACATTGACCTAAATGTAATGTTTTCAGATTTGACATTGATTTAATGTTAAGATTTTAGATTTGACATTGACCTAAACATAATGTTTTCAGATTAGGCATTGACCGAAATGATATGATTTCTGATTTGACATTGACCTAAATGTTTTGTTTTCAGATTTGACTGACCTTAATGTTATGTTTTCAGATTTGACATCAACCTAAATGTTATGTTTTCAGATTTGACATTGACTTAAATGTTATGTTTTCAGATTTGATATTGACCTAAATATCATGTTTTCAGATTTGACATTGTCTTAAATGTTATGTTTTCAAATTTGATATTGACCTAAATGTTTTGCTTTCATATTTGACATTGACTTAAATGTTATGTTTTCAAATTTGACATTGACCTAAATGTTATGTTTTCAGATTTGATATTAACCTAAATGTTATGTTTTCAGATTTGACATTGACTTAAATGTTATGTTTTCAGATTTGATATTGACCTAAATGTTATGTTTTCAGATTTGACATTGACTTAAATGTTATGTTTTCAGATTTGATATTGACCAAAATGTTTTGCTTTCATATTTGACATTGACTTAAATGTTATGTTTTCAAATTTGACATTGACCTAAATGTTATGATTTCTGATTTAACTTTGATGTAATTGTTTTAGTTAAATGTCAAATGATTTTAGTTTTAACATTGACCTAAATGTTTTTAGTGTTGACGTTGATCCAGATGAAGAAGAAGATGAAGAGACGTTAATTGAAAGGCGAAGAAAAGAAAGAGAAGCACTTTTACAGGTATTTAATTGTCAAATTATTGAATGATTTTTTTTGTTTGTACAAATTATATGCTTTGTTGTTATGTTTTATGCTAAACAATGAAAATATTAGTTTAACCACTGTGATAAAATCAATATTGATCATAGTATTCAACAAAAACTGGTATTTTTCTAGAAGTATTAATTTTCTTGGATTCTGTGGACAGGAGTTAAATAATATTATTTATTGTCTACGTTTCTATTAAAATTTGATTTAACTAGATAGATATATAGCACAATTTAAACTAAGGAGCACTATATGAGTAATGCATACAGGTTCAAGGACTGTTACGAATGATTAAGGTGATGTGATAGCTGTTGGACTGATCAGTCGGTTGTTATTATATGGTTTGATGGTGGTATAATAGCAGTGTGTATACAGTGTTATATCTTGTGTTTCGTTTGATAAACATAATAAATCTTTAATATTCTGTAACCGAAAAGTGATAAGCCTTTGCTCATAGTAGTTTGGCCATTTTCGTTAGTGTTGGAAGCTCAAGTTTTCATTTTTTGTTAATTGAAATCCCATAATTTTTTTAAGGACCAATCTAAATTCAAAGAAAGGCAATGATCATTATACAAGTTCAGCAGGTAAAGGGTTTGATTTTTGTGCTCACACTGCTACAAGCATGGATTGTTACTTGAATTTTATTAAGTTTAATTAGGGAGCTGCCAAAATTTTACAGTCACAGGAAATATTATTTCATTTACAGAAACTAAAGCAAAGTGAAGATCCAGAGATTCAGCCACAGTCAAATTTAGTGAACCAGTCTGTAGAAGAGACTGAAGAAACGCAGAACCAGTCCACAGGTATTATCATAGACATGGGACCAGTCCAGCCCACACAGCAACAACAACAACAACAAGGTACCTTTTTAACAAGTCTTTTTATGCATTGATTGTAAAGTATATATCATTATATGTTTGTAAAAGTTCAGAATAATTCTTTATATTCCATCAAGTGAAAATTAAGCATATTTCAGGTTTACAATCATGAAAGTTTGGCATATTTCTTTACATTACGTGTCTGATAATGATAGAAAGGCTGTACTATATTCAGACTCTATTCTTTTGGTTGCTCAATTATTAAAATCCCATAAACTTAATACAAACATATAAAGTTAAAGCAGGACACATCCATTATACAAATTCAGCATGTTACGGGCTCAATCATATTTTTTTTCTTTGGGTTTCAGATATACCAGTTGAAGGTCCACAGAGTCCAGATGCCCCCGCTAGTCCCCAGATATCGACCAGTGACAGTTCAAGCAGCTCATCATCATCTTCATCATCATCGTCATCATCATCAGATCATAGTGATACTGAAAAAATAGAAAGACAAAAACTTGATAATAAGAAAAAGAAAACAGAAAGAAAAATGAAAATTCCAGATGAAGATGTAGATAAGAAACCTTTGGATAGAGATTCGAGTTATAGAACTAAAGTGTTAAGTGAGAGTGAAGATCTATATAGGGAAGGTAGCAAAGAGAAATATATAAGTGGAAGAAAAGAAAGAAAAGACGAAGAAAGTGATAAAAGTAAAAAGAATGTTAAAGATGATAGGAAACTGGAGAAGAAAAATAATGACAGTGAAGAAGAGTTAAGACAAAGGATTATGAATAGAATGAAAAATGGGAGTAAGGAGACTAGCAGAAATGATGAAAGTGATGATGAAAGGAAAGATAGAAAGAAGGACAAAAAAGGTGATGATAAGAGTGAAAGAAGAAGAAAGAGAGATAGTAGTGAAGAGCTTGAGAAAAGTTATAAAAAGATCGAGAGGAAGAAAGAGAAGAGAAGAGAGGGTTCGCGGCACGAGAGAAGTGATGGGCGAGATGATTCAAGGAGGAAGAAGTATGATGATGACTATTCATCGGATAGCAGTGACAAAAGAAAACAAGAAAGATATAGAGGAGGGGAGCGTACGAAATCAAGAAGAGATGGTGATGAAGATAGGTATGATAGCAAAAGAAGAAGCAGGAGATACGATGATGATGATTATTATAGAAAAGACAGTCGCAATAGAGACAGAAAAAGAACTTCTAAACGTTACAGTAGTTCTAGTGAAGATGAAGATAGGTCAAATGATAGGACTAATAGAGGGAAATCAGGTTCTAGAAAAGATAAAGAAAGGTCTGAGCGAAGTAGTGAACGCAGTGATAAAAATAAAACAAAGGAGAAATCTGATAAGGAGGCCGAAGAGAAAAGTGAAGCTGTGGAAAGTGGTAAAGATCTGAAGATATATGATAATCTAGAAGATGAAAATACGACTGATTTTGAAGAGACTGTAAAACAGAAACGATTGTCCCTAGAAGGATTTGATGAAGGTATGTCATATTTTTTATAGAGGTTGGGACAGCAGTTGGGAAGTGTACAATGGAATTTTTAAAGTCAAGAAGGATTTTGATGACAGTGTGTTATTTTTTTCTTGTTTTGAAAGTAGGTGGGGGTGATAATTTCTGTTAAATCTTATAGTCTTAGTTTAGACACAGTTCAAGGTGTGTCTGTGGACAAGTGGTAAAGGTCATTGACTTCAAACCACTTGCCCCACACTGTTGTGGGTTGGAATCCCATCAGGGACTTTAAATCATTCATTTGAGGAAGCTATCTTTATTTTGACTAGGAAGCTATCCAGCTAGCTTACGGAACATCTGCGGTCCTATCGAAGGGTGAAATTATGCTGGAAACCAAACCAAAAAATAGAACCAAATAAAAAAATATTTTCATAATTCTGTTACACTAAATAATTTTTATTTCAGAAGAGAGTAAGGATGGTGAAGGGAAAGAAAAGTCGTCTAAATGTGTGGACATGTTCTCTGAAGATGCAGATATGTTCTCTGAGAACTACAATGTAAGTTTATATATGTATTCTTTATTTGTTTTATTAATTGTTGTTAATTGTTTGTTAAGGTTAATTGCCTTACAGTCTGTAAATGGAATCTCTTTACCCTGTTTTGCAAGCCTATACAGTTTAATGTAATTACAAGTATTGTTACATCCAATCACTGTACCCTTCTTGGGACCCTATATATTTTAACTTGAACATTTCTTGAGATAACAGGAAGTAGACTTACTTATAAATATACTGTGTACCTACGTGAACTAGTATTCCAAAATCTTAACCCTATCAACATTGTTAAATTTAATACCAATAGAAACCTATTTTTATATTTCTAAAGTATTGTAAGTACAGCCTATATCTCTATCTAAAGGTTAAAATTTATTTCAGAAGAATTGTATACATAAGACTGGCTCACTTTTATTTACCATGTTTTTTTTTGCAGTCCCCAAACTTGTCAGCTTACAAGACAGGGAAGAATGAGAACCCAACACTGATGGACAACTGGGATGATGCTGAAGGCTATTATAGTAAGTATTGGAACCAGTCTGTGTTACCAGCTTGGTCATTGGCCAATTTTGATTCCAGTCCTGTGTTACCAGCTTTGTCATTGGTCAATTTTGACATCTGTGTTACCAGCTTTGTCCTTTGTGACTTCTCACATTTGTGTTAATAGCTTTGTCATTGATTAATTTTGACATCTGTGTAACCAGCTTTGTCATTGGTCAATTTTGACTTGTATGCAACCAGCTTTGTCATTGGTCAATTTTGACTTGCATGTAACCAGCTTTGTCATTGGTCAATTTTAACATCTGTGTTAATCGCTTTGTCTCATTGGTTAATTTTGTAAAATTGTACGATGTCATGAAGGTCTACAGAAATTTTAGTTCTATTTTGCTACCATTCAATGTATAAAATTGGAACCAGAATTCTATATTTCATTAAGTTTTAAACTGTGTTATATGACTTTTATGTCATTTATTTGATATAGTATCCCACGACATACGATCAGCCTCACATTTTTACTGCATACTTCAAACATAAATAATTGCATGAGTAAACAATATAAATGTTTAAAAGAAACAAAAGAAAAAGACCCACCAACTAATGTTTGTATTTTTGATTAACAGGGGTTCGTATTGGAGAGATATTAGATAAACGATACACTGTGTATGGATATACCGGACAAGGAGTGTTCAGTAATGTTGTACGTGCACGAGACCAGGCTCGAGGCAATCAAGAAACTGCCATCAAGATTATTAGGAACAATGAAATGATGTGAGTACAATTACTACCATAATAATTTATTAGTATTTTGTAAGTAAAACTTGAGTTTTTAGGAACTGTGTGTAAAATAGTCATTTATGACAAGTTTCTTTGTCTAAATTGAATTAACAGTTAAAATGCTTGAAGTTTTATTGAAGACTGAATCTTAGTTTCAGTCCAGTTAGAAATTAAGTTTGAAGTGTAGATAAAGTTAAGTTTTAAACCCAACGGTTTATCAAGTTTAGTTTAAAACCAAATAATTAAAAGAAAGGGGTTGATTTTATTTCTGCTATTTGAATTTGATATGCATTTGTATGATTGTCCTTTTAGGCATAAAACTGGTTTAAAAGAGTTGGAGTTTTTGCGAAAGTTGAACGATGCTGACCCAGATGACAAATTCCATTGTCTGCGATTATACAGACATTTCTTCCATAAAAACCATCTATGTCTAGTGTTTGAGTCTTTAAGGTTAGTACTAGTTAAATCATATTTTATTGCTAATATGTACATGTAAATTATACACAGAAACAACAGGTTTTCAAAATAATAAGTAGCACAATGGTTGGCCCTAAGTTGTTACAACATTAGCTATAAGCCCTCCACCAAAAGGTAAATACTCTTCTTTGATATCTTAACAGTTTTATAATAATTGATAGAGGAATGCAAAAAAAAAAATCGATTTTAATATTCTAACAAAACTGTTATTAGTGTTAAGCAACAAAACTGTTAAGCACTTCAATATCACACTTGCAGGAAAATAGTTAATTTTCAAAATGTATACCAGTTCAGTATTGAAAATGTGCAGTGAGGGATTTATCATTGCTTGAATTGAATTTGTTAGCATAATAAAACATACAAACCAATTATATTGAAGTTTATTTCATGAGATACATTAACTTTAAGTTGAAGGAGTTATATATTTCATCATCACGTATAAGACCAATTGTATCAGACAGGATGAATCTGAATACAAATTTTCTACAACATCATGTGGCTTTAATGGCAGAATGTTGAATTTTGTCAAATTTCTATCATTTGCGTTTAGCAACTACTTTTGAATACAGTATTAGATTCATGTCATCAATTACAAATTGTCTGATTAATGTAACCATTTACATTTTGTTACAGTATGAATCTACGTGAGGTGATGAAGAAATATGGGAAGAATATTGGTCTTCACATCAAAGCTGTGAGAAGTTATTCACAACAATTATTGATGGCACTCAAACTTCTGAAGAAAGCCAGCCTGCTACATGCTGACATTAAACCTGATAATATTCTGGTATATCTTTTAATAAGTATTTAATAACCATGTTCATTTCATTAATGTTATAAAATGCATTTTATTACTATGATGTAAAAAAAAAAACTTGTAAAGCGTTCAAATATGTTTCATATCCATTATCATTGGACCTTCAAAATATTTAATAGACATTGAAATCTGTATAATCATTATCAAGGTGTTTAATGTCCATGATCAAAACAGTTCATGACCAGGATTAAAAGTCTGCAGGAGCCATTAAATATTTCAGCTTATGCCTGAAATAATGCACTGAAAATCTCATCTGAATTCTGCTTGTACCAGTAAAGATGGAAGGTTACCTTATGACTGTCATGATATTGATATTAAGACTTAAAACCAAAGAAATAAAAAAAGACATTGAAACTCCAAATATTTAACATAGAGTCAAATTCAATATATCGGTGTACGCATGCAGTTGAATAAGGGGTCAATTATTGTCAATTTGTCTGATCTATAGAATTGTTTGATTACAGGTAAACGATTCGAAGTTACTGTTGAAACTTTGTGATTTTGGTTCTGCGTCACATGTATCAGAGAATGACATAACACCGTACCTGGTCAGTAGATTCTACCGAGCACCGGAAATCAGTAAGTAAACATTGGATGTAGAAGTAAAATATAATGATTCTTTGATATGTATTAAGATCTTTTTCTCAGTTTTAACAATATCTGGAATAAAATTGATCCCTCAGAAGCATCAAAATCAGCAAAATTACATGAAAATTGCAGACTCGGTTTGATTGAATCTGTACATGAGTGATAATGAAAAAGTGTAACATCTCTCAATTTGTCTTGATTTAGAAATTACATATTGGTTGGTTGGTTTGCTCATTCTGTATATTATTTACATTGAAGTAATATTTATTGTTTGTATTTTAGCTGGACTGTATTCGGTTTATGAAGAGCTGCTCTGTCTAAAGTCGGCATCAAGATTTTATAATGGTTTTATATGTTTTTGTTCTGCAAGAGACTGAGTGGGACCTTTTGCTTGTCAAATAAAAAATTATCAACAGTGAATAGTGATTGACTCTCTTCAAATAGTCTTAAACTATTTATTCAAGAAAATAGTTTTTAAAATTAGATCTTAACCATATTTTTTTATGTGAGGTAGTATTTGTTTGCAAATGCATTTGAAGTGTCATACATGTATTGTTTATTTCAATATTTCAGTCATGGGAAATGGTTACGACCATGCCATTGATATGTTTTCTGTTGGCTGCACAATCTATGAGCTTTATACGGGGAAGATTTTGTTCCCGGGGACGTCAAACAACGAGATGTTGAAGTTTATGATGGATGTGAAAGGGAAGATACCAAATAAAGTGATACGTAAGAGTATGTTTAGGGATCAACATTTTGATACAAATTTCAATTTCCTATATCATGAAGTGGATAAAGTTACACACAGGGTATGTATCTTTCTAATCTTACGGCTATGGGTTAACTGTATGCTTTTACAAAGCCGCTCTTTGAAATGGCTATTTGTTTGCTATATTTTCCCGCTAGGCTTAAGATTTGGAGGTTAAAAAAATTTCCTGAAAGATACGTCTACATATCTACTTGTACATGTAAATCGAATTTATAATATTATTGTTGTTGAGATAAAATTCTGCAAATTCATTCTGCATTTCAGTACTTTAAGTGAAGATGGAACTATGTTGTTGTTATTTTCATTATAATTAGTGTAAACTGTTTCATGAAATAAAAATCAGGGCTCACACTGGCTCAAATAAAATAATAGCCAATAATTTTAACTTAAAAAAATAATAGCCAAAAGTTCAGCGGACTATTCACAAATTAGCGATTAACAAGTTGACATAAGCAGTTGATTAAATAAACATTACATTTATATCTTTCAGTTTTATAAGGATTCTCAAATAAACTGATACATTTGTGTATATTGATAACTACCTTTTTTTAAATAGAACCACAACTTTAATTGTTATTATAGAACAGAATAAAAACGTTATAATTAGTATAATTACTGTATAACAATAATATTAAAGATTCATTATAACTTTACATAATGCTGTTATCAGACAACTTTTTTGTTTGTTCTAATCAAATTTTGTCAGCTATAACCACTGTCAATTTCACACAGAACTGGAGTAGATCTAGGTCATATATATATTAGCCTATGGAAATAACACAAGTTTGCAAACTCATTCACAGAATGCAGCCTTTTTTCTGAATAATTTACTGAAAAATATCATCATCACCAATGTAATACAAATTTTCTGCCATAGTAGTAAAGATTTTAAACAGAACATAGCTTAATTCACCTTTAAATAAATATCAAAATTATCGGTGTCGCGAAAATATGTGACAATCGGATTTTTCCTGTTTTCTTGAGAAATATTCACAATTTTGGTTGTTGTGCAAATAGTTGTTTGGAATTTAATACTTTTTGAATATTTTACCATTGTTTTCCACTGGTGATTTAGTCAAGTAGCTTAAAAAAAAATCAAAATTTGCAATTACTGGAATTCACGGTAAATTTAGGGTAAGTCAATATCCAGTTTATCAATTTTAAAACGATTTTTGTGGCTAATTGACGGATATTTGATGGCTATTATAAATGCTGGACAATATCTTTAAAGTACTTATACAATTATACATCTCGCATGTATTTTATCACCTCGGGCAATATAGTTAACAGCACGTGACCGGTAAAAAGTTGACACTCGATTAAATGCACCCCGCTGGTGTTAATTGGGACTACTGCATTCATTATCGATTTTACACCTTATATAAACACTGTTGAAAGTAAAAAATAATCGCCAGATTTTGTAGCCAAAATGCAAAAAATAATCGCCAATCTTATAAAATAATCGCAAATGGCGACTATGGCGACCGACAGCGTGAGCCCTGAAAAATGTTATGTATTAGTTAAGATAAAAACTTTAATTATCAACATTTTATTACTGCTTTACAGTATGACAAGAGTAAATTAATTTCCAGTAGAAATTTATTTGCTTGTCTGTTTTTAGAGAAGAAGTTGAGCTATAACAATCAATGTTGTTGTTATTATCTTTATGCATAAACTTTTATGTAGCATATTATTCAAATATTTTAAAAGCTATCAACATGAAACTTGAAAATTTTTGCTTTTCTTGACGAGGTTCAGTTGTTTCTACTTTTTCTTATTTACGTGAACGACATTGCAGATTCTCTGTCTAGTGTAACACGTTTATTTGCCGACGATAGTTCATTATCAGTTAGTTCCAATAATATTAATCATATCGAATCAACATTAAATGACGACCTAAATATATTATCAAAATGGGCAAAACAATGGCTTGTTAAATTTAATCCGACTAAAACAGAAGTATTATTTCTCTCTCTTAATAGACAAACACGTGAACGTACCTACACTTTTCTTGATAATACACGCTTAACGTTTGTTGACAACCATAAACACTTGGGTATTACATTTAGTAAAAGATGGTTCATGGCATGAACATATTACAAATATAGCATCTTCCGCCACAAAAGTTTTAGGATCTATGCGTATGTTAAAGTTTAAGCTTAAACGGAAAACTTTGAATCAAATATATATATCTTATCTTAGACCAATTATTGAATATGCATCGATTGTTTGGGATAGCTGCACAGTTTATGAAAAAGAATCTTTTAGACAAAATTCAGTATGACGCTGCACGAATTGTAAACTGGCTTAACAAGATCTGTATCAATAGAACGTTTACTAAAGAAAATAGGGTGGTTTCATTATCAGACAGAAGAAACATGCAGAAATTAATTTTGGTATATAAATATAGCCGTGGAGAATTACCCTGTTATCTGTCTGAAACTTTTTCCAAATACCGTTTTAGAAGCAAATACATACAATTTGAGAAACAAATTCTGACTATGCTACTATGGCACGCCGGCTTGAAATCTATGCTAAATCTACAATACCTTCATCTATCAAACTTTGGAACAATTTGGACACTCAATCTCGTACTGTAGACTCATTATCAGCTTTTAAACGTAATCTAAAAGAAAAATTTAAACCCCCAATAGTTCCCCCATTCTTTATTTCTGGTGAAAGATTTTCACAGGTCCATCATGCAAGAATACGTAATAAATGTAGTAACCTAAACTCCGACTTATTTTACAACCACTTACGTGATAATCAAAAATGTGACTGTGGATATACCATAGAGGATGCAGAACACTATTTTTTCAAATGTCCGTTATTTCATCAACAGCGCCATCAATTATTCATTTAATACCCGCCCATACCATCCTTTAAGTGTAAAGAAACTGCTGTTTGGAATTGATAACTTGTCGCCTGAAGATAATGACATTATTTTTGGGCATGTTCAAAAATATTTAAAGAATACGAATCGTTTTAGAACTTAATATATCTTAATGATAATTAAATATAACTCCGTGTTTCTATTTTTAATGCTGGTCCAGTAACGAAATGGAGGCGAAACCTGTTTTTTTTTTCAGAGGAAAGGTGAACAGAAGTTTGGATGTTTTTAGAATGTGTATTTTTTTTTCTATTTCATGATATTTAAACCTCATATCAATTTTTTTTGTTGTTGTTGTTTTTTTTCTCAAAATATTGTCATCTAAATACTTTTATATCAATATAGATATATATAGAAGCAAACTGTAAATATTACTCTGATGATGCGCAAAAAACATATATTTTCTTGTTTCTTCGCCTAACACATTAATTACGTAAACAAGTTTTGTATCTTTATAATGAACATTTTGTTATTTAAACTTGCCTGGGAAGGGCCTTCATTAATGTTGGTAAAACTTGTGGCCCAACCCATTTGCTTCAAACTGTTAACATACATGTTTCCTTATTCGTATTTATTGTATTCTGTTTAGTATTAATGTAATCTCTATGTTACATGTACATGTTTCAAGCAATAAAATATGATTAAATCGAGGTTCAGTTGTTAAACAAGGGCCATATTTCTGAAAGCTATATTTTTGGACTTAAACAGCTGTTAACATGGCAAGTGATGCTCTTGTATTTGAAATGAAAATTACAAACTAAATTTTTTCCACAGGATAAAATTACTGTATTAAGTACGATATCTCCATCCCGAGATTTGTTGGCGGAACTTGTTGGGTACCAGCGATTGCCGGAGGACCAAATGCGCAAAGTTAAACAACTGAAAGACTTGTTAGAAGGAATTTTAATGCTCGATCCAGGCAAGAGGATTTCAATCAATGCAGCCCTCGCTCATCCCTTTATACAGGAAAAGATTTAAAGGGAGACAATTCTGATTTACTACAGACTCAGTTAGGGAACTTGGTAGGAATTATATATATTTATGTACATATGAAATATATATAATATACTTATATACTTACATTGTGGTTTTGCAAATTGTTTAAAAAACATAAAGGAACATATTTTGATCTTCTAATTGTTTAAGGTGACAGTTTGTCAACTTTCTTTTTTTTTTTTCGTTAAGGTATTGATTTTTTTTTAAATTGGAAAAGTGTGATTCAAATATTCATGGATATACTGTAGGTAATGTATATTTTTGTTTATGTTTTATCAAGTAGAAAAATAAAGAGGATTTTATTATGATTCATAATATTTGTAACTTAAGATGATAAATTATGTGTACAAATTTACATTTTGATGCTCATTGATTTATATATTAAGCTATTTTAATTTTGAAGTTAGCATTAAGCATATTGTTTTCAAGTACTTATTATATTCCAATGTATTTTTGTTCTGTTTTTTGATGACTTATGTTTTGATTTGGGTACAAGTTTTCACCTTGAATTTGCGCACTAATTGTAAATGGTTAATTTACTATGTTTACAGATTTATTCTCAGAATTACCATGACGACCTGTTCTTCAAAAAACTTGTATTCCTGATAATGTGAGAAAAGATAAGTGCAAAAAGAAAACCATTTAAAACCCACAAACAAATATGAATGAATTAAAATACAAATTTTACAGATATAGGTTTTTATGTTTGAATATAGAAATATTTTTAATGATCTTTCAGTGAAGGTGAAAAAAAATTTATATAAATAATGACTTTAAGATATTATTTTGTTAGTGTTAGAAGTATTTATTGTATAAACATATACAGAATGAGATTTTTTAATCACAATTATGAAACCACAATTACATGTGAATATATAAATAAAATGTTAGGCTCGAGAATATTTCACAAATACCTATGGCTCTCTGTTAGATTTTTTCTTTGTGTTATTTTGTTAAACATTACATAGGGGAAACATGTATAATTCTAATTTCTGATGCTATTTTTGCATACTACTGAAGATTGTAAGAAAGAAATCACTCAAAGATATATGTTTGTATAATATGTTGATATTTTATGCAGGTACATTTGAAGATGGGGGATATTTTGAAATCCTTGGTACAGAAACAGTTTTACTTTGTCTTGGTAATCTATTTTTCTATTGTGAGTGAATATTTGTGGTGCAGATATTTTGTAAATCAGTGTTTTAATTATATACAGTTTATGAAAATAACTCCATATGGACAGTTTAAATGAAGAATTATGACAATTTTAGTAGAATGATTGATGTATGAATGAAATTTTTTAGAAAACTTGAATTTTTTCTGTATTTCTTTTCCCTCTTTTTGAAAATAAAGTACTGTATAAATTTTACTTTCTTTTGCATCCCCCTGGCAACCATCTTTGAGTATGTACAGATGCTGCAGACATCATCTAGAAAAAGAGCAAATAGATCAATACACAGACCGGAGGTCTTATAATTACGGGTCCATGCACGGATTTAGCGGGAACAATCTCACGTAAAAATTTGAATACCGAATGTACTGTGAACTATGTAGACAATACAAAGTGGTGAAACGAAACAATGCATTAGTACTCATGTACATGTACACATATAACTTTCACTTCAAAACTTTTGCTTATTTCATTCACCACTTTTGTAGTCATAAAAAAAAGTTTTCTTAACATATGTGTATGTATATAAATCCAGAACCATGAATATGGCTATTGGATTTTCTTATCAAGCAAAGAGTTAGTATTTCAAGTATTTTATAGTGGAAAAGATTAATTATTTGTTCAAAAGTATGAGTTTTAGAAAAACATGGTCCCTATTAAGTAAACAAACAGTTCACTCTGGATCATAGAAAAGCTTGGTCAATCTTTATAAGTACAATAGGTCATAGAAAATGCTTATATTTGATATTTTCAGGTTTTTTAAGGCATATAATAGCATATTTTATCTATAAAGGTTCTCTTGGTCACAGAAAAGCTAATTTGATCTTTACAAATGCTCTAGGTCATAGAAAAATCTTATTTGACTTTACAAACGCTCTAGGTCATAGAAAAGCCCATTTTGATGGGTACGTTACGATACCGAAATCAACTTGATTTCGGTAAAGCCATATTTTAACTAGGCTAGTTTTTACGAGTTGATTTCGGTTATAAAAGCTGATTTCGTTAACTTTACTGAAATCAAGCGTAACTTTGATCTTTACAAATGATCTAGGTCATAATTTGATCTTCACAGGCTGGGTAAGCTTGAAAAATGTGATGAATTTTGTTAATTTTTAAATAAATAAATATTGGATGGAGGCATTTCTTTATTGAGTCATTTGATTGGGAATTAATTTACACATTTTGTCTGAATTTGACTGGTATCCTACACAATCAGATGTAGGTTTGAGGAGACATGGTTTGAGAGCTATTAGAGAGAAACTATTTAATGAAGCATTATTTTAGTCTGGCAGGATGTCTGAGCTGTATTTTGACAAAATTTAAAAAAGTTTTCATTCCTGTCCCTGTATATTTAATTATGGGGAAGAGCAGAATATTATATAGCTTAAGGGTCTAAGGGCAAAAGCCTGCCTGCACTTTCTCTCCGTTAAATTTTGTATTTCAACACAAAAATCCCCGAAAATAACACTGGCCAGTTTAAAACAAGCTCCAAGCAGGGCAAGTCTATTGTTGTGAAGATCATCGGGTTATGGTCAATAGAATCTTTGGTATAAAACTTCTGCTCTTTGTTTCAGCTTGACCAATTTGTGAATTAAGAATAGTTTTATTGTTTTCTTTCTTTTATTTTCCCTATAGGGTGACTGGAGACACCAGAGAAGTTTTCGTGTACATGGATTTACCTAAACCATCTTCATGCTTCCAGCTTGGTTTAAACTCAAATTCTGTTTTAAAAATGAAATATAAACAGATGGTTTTAACTTGATATTATAGACAGGTTGCTTCAAAACTAACCAGAGGGTAATGAGATTGTATTTCCAGACTTGATTCAATAATATTGGAAACTGGAACATATTCCCAGTTAAATGTCCATTAAGGTGGGAATAAATATTGGGGATTGTAGATAAAATTGTTCCCAGTATGTTCCCCTAAAACTGAATGGTATTGGACTGTAAAAATTTACCAGTATGTCTTTTTTTCGGCTGAATTAAGTTATTTGGACTGTTCATGAATATTCAGGTATTTTCCTCTTAACTGAAATGGTATTGGGGACTGTAAAAATAGTCAATTGTTCCACTTAGCCGAAATAATATTGGACTGTTGAAATAAAAATACTTCCAAATTATTCATTATTTTCTTCAGACTTGAATGGTTTTAATTTATTTTCTCTTCATTGGAACCCATATGAGACTACAAATATCCATTAAAGGCAACTTAAAAATTTGAACAATAAATTGGACTGGTATAGTTCCCAATTTTTTCTGGTAATAAAATTGGATTGTAAGATATTTAGTTTGTTCAATAAGCTGAGTAAAATTCCCAGTTGATTTAGAAAAATGGTTAGGTAAGGGAAAGTGGCCCTTATGACGTAAATTGTGGTTTGGATTTGCATAAAACCACCCAAAAACACGTGAAAAAATTATGATAACTTATTTAGTTAGTAGTGAGCTTTCGTTCTAGGCCCTGTATAGGCCACAGCATAAATCTTTTTTTTTGAGAAAAGTAAAAAAATAAGAAAACTTAAACTGTCTGACCTGCAATTGAAAAATTACCCTTATCCTTATCATATTTATTGCACTAAGGTAATATAAAAAAATGCAAAAATGCACGACAAAAAATTTCTTCCCCCCTAATAATCAAGTCCATTTAAATCGAATGGATATCTAAAGATAATGCTTTTTTTATTCAAAAAAAATATAGAATAATTGAAACTTATGAAGATTGGAAATCCCCCCCCCCCCCCCATAGAAAATAGAGAATAATTATATTTAAAATAGGAAAATAACTAAATGGATAAACTGAATCATAAATATGTCAGCGGCTTTTTAATTTCATTTTTTCTTTTTTCATCACCAGAAATGTTGCAGGGATATAGGTCTGTGCTTTTATACTCTTTCTTTGTTGTACAATTTAAAGCAGTTTTAACTGCAAAAAAGTAAGTCACTTAGGTTATGCTTTTTTAAAATTAAAATACTTTAAAGTATACACTATATTCAGTTACATATAATTTTAGGACACAGTCTTAAATAAGAGAAGGAAATTTGAATTTAATATGATATGTAGTATGATATATTAATAATCATCCAATTTTACCTTTTCAGGGAATGGTGATATAGAAGAAAATCTACACCTACAGGTTGTTACCAGGTTAAAATGGATTTAGAATAAACCTTTAACATGCTGAATTTGTGTATAAGATTTGCCTTGCTTTGAATTATAGAGCACTGAACTCAAACTTTAGGAAATTCAGGCTCAAAATAAAAAAAATACTCAACAACTATTTTATTTAGAGCCTGGTTAAACTGCAAGAATGCGTAGGGTGGTCCAACTGTGCTGATGGCATATGCTAACATAGTCAAGTTCAGCAGGTCATGGGGTAAATTCTGGTCAAAATAAAACTCTTAAATTAGCAAAATAAAGAAATTGCCCAAACATGACATATAAAAAGTGGTGAAACGAACATATACAATTGTATTAGCATTATATTGCATTGTAAAAGGGTCCTCTTGTACAGTATTTCTGTGTAATTTATGTAAATATAAGATATATATTCACTTTGCAAAGAATTATACTAAGTCATATATAAGAGAATGAATGTTATTTTCCTCATATTATCATGTTTAACTGAATGTAGAATCTGAAATATTTGACTAATTGCAAACCCTGTAAAATTCATTTAGAAAAGTTATTGTCTACCTGTTTTAGGATTTGTAATTTAGAACCTGAAATATCAAAATTATTATTTTTAAAGTGCCTAGCATTTTCAGGATACGATTTTTTTTCTAAATTAAGAAGCATATGGAAAGAAATTCAGCACCAGCAAATATGATTGTATTGTCTCCCTTTAATCAGATTTTATACTTGTAAAGTTTGACTTTAATATGAAGTCGAGTTTTTTTTTTTTTTCATTGTTTGGAGTAATTTATTTAGATTGATGATGTATCCATAGGTTACATAAATTTACATCAATTTGGACTGCATGGGTTTGTCAAATACCCCTATCTGGTATAATATGAAAATAAGAACAAAGTGCATGTAATAAGATTTTTGTACACTGATGACATAATCATGTTCAGATATTGTAAATGGTATATGTTGATATCTTTGATTGGTTGATGACTTAAGAATTAGAATGTTGGTGGATTACATTTTCAGTATGGAGGTTAGAAAATGTGAAAGGACATAGTTAAGATCTGTAAATGAACAAATAATTTTGATGTTCATTAGAATATCATTGATAAAAATTACAATTAACCACCACCTATTTTTCTTGTGCGAGCATGAAAGCCAGGTTCTAAAATGATTATAGAAATAGTGGTATTCATTCTTTTCCGGAATCAATGGCAATTAGTAGTAGTAGTATTGCATAAATGTCAGATAAAGGTATTCTCTTGGGAAACAATAGCAATTAGTAATGTTTTACAATTACATATAGTAATAATTGTTTTACACAGAGAAATCATAAACTTTGCAATGAACTGTCCCATGTTTGAAGAAGGGTGAGTAAAAAATAAGGTAAGA